TTGTGTCATTCAAAATATAAACATTTCGTGTAGTATATGAAGCAGAGGTATCTTCCTAGGTTAAGTTTAAGTTTTTATGTACAAGTAAGGGTTCCTGTTTAACGTTCCATTGCCTATAATCATGAATACAGTGATAATGCTGGTAGGTACAGTTCTCACAACATTTCCATTTGCAGCTGCATGTATTAGCATGTGTAAGGCTCACAACTATGTTTCTTTCAAGGCTATATATGTTCGTTGTGGATTGTATGGGAAAATGCTTTGGACTTCCATGATAGTGTGTGTCTAACGTACGATCTCAGACTGTGTATATGTGCCATGGCATGTTTATCTTTTTCTGGATCTTCTGTTAGAATTCCTCTCCATCTTTTGGAAGTAATATTTTAGCAAACTCAATTCCCTGTATGTGGCAATACAGCTCCAAGTCACTGGCAGAGAGATGTCATTGGTAGGATGACAGTTTTAACAGTTTTAGTATAACTGGTACTTCCCTCTATGTAACGCATGGAACATGTTATCATGTGGATAGTAAGCAAACTTCATGATGTTGGTATAAAATGAATAGCATTTAAATACAGTGTTGAAATTTGAATATTGCTCTGCTGTAGAATTTCAGCATTTATGCTTTTTAATATTTACTGTGTTTATATGGTGTAGAATATGTTCAACAGAGACAGTCTTGGAGGGATGGGAGTCCACAGCTTATTTACATGTGAGGAGATCTTGGATTGAACCCAAGGCCGTCTGTCTTAATTCATGTTTTCACAGTGTTCCCAACATCTCCAAGCATATACCAGTAGATTGTTCAAAAAATAGATCAGGGGTGCCACCTTTCTATATCCTAATTTATCAGTTGTTATCGTACGTAATCATATATGGTTTGATATTTTTATGGCAGTGAAAATTTGTGTTGTGGTCTCATAGATGGGATACCAACATTTCAGAGGAACATACTGCCTCCATCTTCAAGGCAGAAGTTCAGCCATGAATATGAAGGTAGTGTGTTTTATCTTCAGGGTTTAACTTTGGCCATACCCACATGAAACTACTGCACAGTGTTGTAACCAAGAAGACAACACCAATATGAAATACATAATTTTAACTTTAAGCATTGCAGAAAAATAGAATGTGGGTTGTAAAATTACAGAAGCAAATGCAAATGCAAAAGCAGATGCCAGACCTGAGGTAGTAGTGAAACACGGGTGAAACAAAGCTAGTAGATTAATCTTGCATCTTACACCTAACTGGTCCAAAACACATTGCTCATTCTTAACCTGAGTCTTTGTATTATCTAGAGTAGAGATTTTCAACCTTTTTCAACTCATGGCACACTGAACATGGTGCTAATCAGTTTTTAAGGAGAGATTTTATCATTAAAAAAAGTGTTAAGTTTGTGTTTAAAAGTTCAATAGCTAAAATTATAATCATTATGTTATTTTTAAAAAGAATGTTGATCATAGATTTCATCGCAGCTTTTCTCCAGGCAAGATGAATCCGAGGGACAAGTAGTCTTCATTATATTGGTGCATGATGGTTTTAGAACTGACACAAACTATACTGTGCGATATACTGCCGGCCACACTTCATTCATTGTTGTCATCTAACTTAACGGTTTTTAATTATGAAACCATCCATGTCCCGTGAGCCATAAAAAATAAAAATCGACTAAATTCAGAAATAACAAAATATCTCAAATGTATTAGAAATAATAAACAAAAATGCATTAGTGCAAACTCACACAGAATAACACAGCTGATCCGAACAACAGCTGACGGACGACTGACACTGCCGGCATGACAAGGATGAAAGGTGGGGTGGTAAAAGTACATTGAAGAGTTATTCCGTGATTTGGAACATTAGGTATGGAAGTTCTGGGATTTTTAAAATTCGCTTAGTTGGCAGTGGAGTCCAGCTGAGTCGACTAGACACAGCGGCCACTGATTGGCCTATTGCACCTGCCCTGGGTGATTATGATGATGCAGAATTTGGTGGAATGAAAATTGGCAAGGGAAACCGAAGTTCTTGGAGAAAACCCGCTCCAGCGTCACATTGTCCACTACAAATTCCACTTGACCAGACCTGGGATCGAACCCGGGCTTCCGCAGTGGGAAGCCAGCAATTAACCGCTTGAGCTATGGCGTGGCCTTTTGTGAAAAATATACAGTACTCCTAAAATTCACCTAAACGATTTTTTATTCTTCAAAATTTTCTCACTTCTTTTCGTCCTTCCCCTGAACGTCCATGGCACACCTACAGACACTTTACGTCACTCCAGTGTGCCATTGTACAGTGGTTGAAAATCGCTGATCTAGAGATAAGAAGGACACATGTTCTTTTACTGTATATAAACTACAAGAAAAGCTGGTTATATGCCTTGTATACATCAAAATAGGCCATATTTTGTTTTTATAGATGGAATTGTTGCATTATCTGTGAAGTTTGACAGATTTGGGACATTTGAAAGGCCAGGCATACTAATTTGCACATGCACGTCTTTCATTAAGGAAGGGGAATATTTGACTTTGGTTATGTGCAGGATGAAAGTTTCATCAGAGGAATTGTAGCTCTGGAAAACTTATTTGCTATTTTAATAATATGATATATAAGTTTTATGAAGTTATTGTGGTGAAATCAGTAAGTTAATTTTTATATTTTCTTCTTCTTATCTTCAAACATTGCGTGCCTTTGTAGCTCAATTATATACCGCGTGAATGTTTTATTTTAGCGTCCTGTTGCAGTGATTCACGTCCATGATGGGTATGTATTGACCGTCTTCTAGCGCACACAATCTCACTTGTCACTTCACTACATGTTTCGACATCACTGTGCCATCCTCAGGTGTGTTATTTATGTTAAACTATTGCACTCTTCGCCATCATGTGTCGTTTATAAAATGGTAATGCAATAGTTTAACGTAAATAACACACCTGAGGATGGCACAGTGATGCCGAAACATGTAGTGAAGTGACAAGTGAGATTGTGTGCACTAGAAGACGGTCAGTAAATACACACCATACCGGGTGAAACTGAAAATTGTAGTGTAGTATGTTGAGCATTTATAGTCGTATTTATACCATGTTACTGTGGTGCTACAAATGTTCCTTGTATGGATTGGTTTTGTACTGTGTGTGTTGATTGTCAATATCTCAGTGCAGATCTGTGGATTTTGCCTCTCCCATTAAGGTTCATTTCTTAAATAGAAGTTATGTGTACTTTTAAGTTATTATTAAAGTAAAGGTAAAGGTAGTGGTGAAGGTGTCACTGGGCTTAATTAATTAAGCGTTATGCCCTGAAGACGTGGGGGAGTGGAGATAGAGCTTCACTGTTCTTGACCTCAGCACTAGAAGAATGTAATAGAATAGCCTAGTGTTACTTTTTCCGTTGCTTGGTATTCTGAATAAGAGTACAATGTTTCAAAAGCTGGACTAGTTTCCATCCTTGAAAAGGAGAGGGGACCTCACCTCAGTCACTGGGCCGAGCATTCTGTTATTTTGCCTTCTGTTCAGAATACTAAATGATGAAATTTAGGAACCCAGTAATATCAAGTCTTATCATAAAGCACTGATACTCAACTGTAAGCAGTTGAAGTAAAACGGTAGATACCAATATCACTACTTCTGGTGATACATATCCTTAGTGCCAAGGTTTAGAATACATTTTGTTTTTTCAGTCTTTTTTTTTATGACATCAACATTTGATTCAGTGTCAAAATTTTACTTTTTACCTTTACATAGAATTTAGTATGTCAGATATTTACTGTGCTTTGAAAGTATATAGCTATAAGCAGAATAGTAAAAAGTTTTTTGTAGCATATTTAATGATGATGTCAGTAACTCATACTGCATAGTGTTAGTTTGCAGGATGATCAGTGACTAAAAAATTGGGAAGGATTTTGAAGGAAGGGATCATGGCCTAATTTGTGGTATTCCAACATTTGCCAGGGGGTGGCTGAGGAAAGCCATGGAAAACCTGTCAGGATAACTGATGTCCTGATTGAAATTCAAAATGATGACCTCCCAAATACAAGGAAGAAAAGTTACTGCTTGAGGCAACTTGCCTGGCTTAACACGTTAATGTAAAAAATATATTTTGTTCAAGATTTAAAAAATGTAATTACGAAATTGATACAATCCTAATTTAAAATTTTATTATCCATTTTGATTTAGTATAATCATTTGTTCCTTGAACTTGGATTTCAGTGGTTCATTTTAACTCATTTTAGCAGCATTGTTCCAGAGTTCCCATTGAATTCTTAGTGACTTTTCTTGTTATGTTACATAATTTTACAGAAGTTGCGATTTGTCGAACAGAATGAGCTAATACACAAATCTGAATGTTATGGCGTATGGTGATTATTCTTCTATGCCCTTGCTTATGTTGGCCATGATTAAAACAGGCAGTTATTTATATTATATAATATTAGAAAGATATATTGCTTACAGACATTAGTATTTAACATTTAGAAGAGCCAGAACTAATAAGCATATTAATATGTTTTGATATTTACATATTTTATTAGTTTCATTAATTCAGTACTCCACATCAAGTAATATTCTGTATTATAATTGAGGGGGGGGAGAGATTGAACTGTGCCTCAGTCTTTTGTCTGTGCTGTATTTTATTTTGTGAAGATTCTATATCAGTAAATCTGCTGTAACCTAATGAAAACGGTAAATACCAATTGTTTGATGTGCGAGAATTCAAAGAGAAGAGGTACAGTAAGAAACAAACAGATATTAATAGGTTAGTACTTTGGGTTCTTTTCAGTGCTTTCTTATTTATTTTGAAAGGGTGAGAGTGTATTTAGCATTTCAGAATTTTCTTTCTTAATTGATTGTGGAGAACAGTTTTCCACTGTTCTTACAGAATGTCTTCGGAGTTCTGATGTTTATACTGTTATTTAATTGGCTTAGGGATGTAATATGCAGATGAAACTTGGTGACTGTAAAGTCTGTGACTGGTAAAATTATGAAGAAAGCAGTCTTCTGGGATGTTGCACCATGTATGAACGTTGGTTAACACCACATCTACACGGTGCCACATCCCAGAGGACTGCTTTCTTCATAGTCACCGCTGTGAAAACCTCAAATCTTACATATGCGGTAAAATTAGTTTGGATGAAAGCACAGATTACGGATAATGGAACAGTAAATTTCTTAAGTATTACCAAATTTCAGTTCTTAACTGAGAAGTATTCAAACCAAGAACCTTAAGAATCTTACACAACGTTTTAAATCATAACAGGACTTCACCTTATTTTTCAATTTATGGTTGATGCAAATGCAAATTTTGCACACAGAGTTGTTCCCAGACTTTGAAATGATATTTGCAGCCGTGTGGGTTTCAAGCTCCAATGCATGTTCCATCATCAGATAAAATTCTTGCAGTGGCATGAAGACGACAATGTTACAGTGACACTGACTGTAGAAAAGCTTGCTGTAAATGTAGAGTCACAAATAAACGAGGTCAGTTTGATGTACGAACACAGTAGACTCCAAGACGTGTTATACTGTGTACAATTTTGTTTTCAAGAATGGTTGTGATATTCATTCCAATCATTCTTTCATGTTTAATATTCCAAAGATCTGTTGTTCATATCTTGTATAGTCAAATTTCAGTTTTAACAAAAAGTATTACAGAACTTAACTATTATAGGTGAATGTATATTTTTAATAGTTTTATATAACTTAACTCTAATTGAAGCTATGTATTCATGTACCAGTAAATAAATTTGTATCTGTGGAATGTCTGTTGGCTTTTGTGTCATGTCCTTCCTTGCAATGCTTGGTCGTGTCTGTACAGCGGTACTCCTGTTTTGTCCAGTCTCCTGTAGTCTTCTTTCCATGCATTACTTATGGTGACTTGCAGAAAAGTATCGTCAAGATTCCGACTTAAGTTCAGATGAAGATGGACTTCCAACTTCACGGAGACGTAAGAATGATGTGGGTGTGACCTCTCCTCCTCCCCCTCCACCTCCACCTACAAGCAGCGTTCCTGCATCCCCTGTAACGCTACGATCACAGAGTGGGACTCTTGTATCTAGAGGTAGGTGTGTGTGTGTGTGCTGTACTCAGAAGGGACTAACATGTCTCTGAGTTGATGAATTCTTAGACTTTATTTTATTCAGGAATATACATTGTAAATTATAGGAAAACGTGAGGAGGCCAAAAAATTATTTCTTTCCACTTATGAGGTCAGTGTGTTAACATTACTGTAATTTAAAAAGTAAGGAAACTTTCTCTAGAATCTGTGTTCTTTATTCTGTTTTAATTGTTTTAATTTCTGGCAGTAATTTACATGGACAAATCCGGAATTGAAAGTTGTTTATTTTATATGTTAACTCTGGATTTGCTCTTAATGTACATGTCGGCCACGCCATAGCTCAAGCGGTTAGTCACTGGCTTCCCACCGTGGCGGCCCAGGTTCGATCCCGGGTCTGGTCAAGTGGTATTTGTCGTGGACAAAGTGGCGCTGGGGCGGTTTTTCTCCGAGTACTTCGGTTTCCCCTGCAGATCAGTCTGCTTGTACCGGTCTCACGGTCTCTTCATTTGTGGATTTTCTTATTTTTCCTTATACCCTGAAGATTGAGGCAATACGTTCCTCCAAAACATCAGCTAACACATCTACATGGTGCCACATCCCAGAAGACTGCTTTCTTCATAGTCACCACTGTGAAAACCTCAAATCTTACATATTTTATACTTCTTACGTAATGTGAGGAACAGTATTTTATATGTCATGTATATTATGTTCTGGTAAGTGTATTGGTGTGGAGCGGTAGTGATGGTACAGGTAGGAACAGTTTCTCTTGTGGAGGAATGACTGGTGAACTGAGTGAAGATTTGTTCATCACTGCTTGTGGGGAAGAATGGTTCACAGTGGTTGGGATGTTTCAGTCACCATATCCAGGTTGGCACCAGGGCCCACTTAAGGGTTAAAAGGAGCATGAGTGTGAAGCCGCCCACCTACTTCCATTATTGTCAAGTTAATATTTTTACTTTCACGCTGTTTAAATGGATTCATGATATCATGTTTAGGTACAGTGGTACCTTTACCTTTACCCTCTTCTCTTACATGATAAAGGTAAAGTTGCCCTTTGCTTAATCAAGCCGTGAAGATCTTTCCCCTTGTTCCATTAAGCACAACAACATGGTGATATGGAGGTATGACCCCATACATTATTACCTTCCACACGAGATGGAAGTGAGCGGTCAGTTTAATGCCCCACTTGCTTTGCTTCTGAGGAAATATCTCATTAGCATTTCGGTAGAGGGTTTGGTGGGCCCCACAATTTCTTAGAATGTGATGCCAAAGAGAGAGGTCCTTGCTAGTTGAATCAGACACCAGCGTTCTAATCCGTAACCTAATCACTGTACTGATTTAGCTATCCAAGATCAGTCTGCTTCATATGTTTGTGTAAAACAGGCATTTGTAAGCATTTTAATTCATGAAATGTGTATTAAAAAGAACTGTTTACCTTTTGGTTCATTATTTGGTGAACCAGAAATTTCCTGGGGGATATAAATCACTCTAGACTGAACACTGCTGTATCAAATATCTACGTGTATATCACAATCTGAATAAAAGAGCAATCAGATGTATGAATAAATACTGGCCATATTGTTTCAGAAATGTTCAATACTGTGAATGTAAGTTAAGGAGTGTTTCATTCCATTGAACACAGGTGTACATTGAACCAGAACATTACTGTCTTTTTCAAAAAGACTGTGAAAGAAGTGGAGATTGAGATCGGAGTCCTTTCATTGTATTCATCAGATCTAGCTCCATTCAAAATTCTTTGTTCTCAGGTTAACACATTTGCGATGCCACTTTGCCTGATAATGATATTAATATATTTTAAGAGGTACACTCAGTAGGGTGTCAGAATATATTCATATCTCTTTGTAAACTGGAAAAATATGAATTAGATATATTGTGGTGTAAGGATAATATTTTTTGGGAAGGAACTATATCTGTTTTATTCAATCAGTTTGTTTTTCTCAGTCCAATTATATTCTGATTATACCTTTTACAATAATGATTGCAATTCAAGAGTTGTCTCTTGTGGTTCATTGATAGTGTGCAGTTTTTAATTGTATCTTCTATCTTCACATGATGTTCAGCACAAAATATTCTGAAATATTCATTTGGTAACCACACATAAGGTTTCAAAGTAATGTAACGCCACTTACCAGCTTTCTTCCCCACGCTTTTTTAGATCAGAGTAGCCTGGATCTGCACGAAGAACTAAAGAACGTCTTAACATTTTTCCGTGAGAAGAAACGCAATCTTGAAATTGTAAAAACTCCCGAAGTATTTATCAGTCAGACTTCTGATCCCATGGAAGTTCAAAATTGGCTTCATGCGAAGGGTTTCAGTAACAGGTAAGTAAAAAATTTTTGGGGTTCTTCAGGGATGAGGCATGAAAAAGATTTAATCTGTATAGCTGAATGATATGTACACTTGATTTTAGTAATGAATTTCCTCTTACACTAGCAATTAAAGAAGTTTGGTAGCTTCGCAGCAGATAAAGGGAAATATGAAAATAACAGCAAGAGTATATGAGTAAGAATGAGAAGAATTTTGAGGTATAAACAATGACAACAAATATTGTTGAGGTTATTGAATCTTTTGCTCTTATTATGCAGTGTATAATGCCGGTCACGGTATCCGAGTGGTCTAAGGCGTGCACTTCTTTGCTTGCTCGGAAGCTGGGATCGTGGGTTTGAATCCCACTCAGGACATGGATGTTTGTGTGCGTTTTTCTATGTTTGTGTACAGGTAGAGGCCTTGCGATGAGCTGATCGCTTGCCCAAGGAGTCCTACTGTATGTGTAAGATCTAGAAAAACCGAAGTGAACGGAGAAGTTCTAGGCAAACGNGAGTAACAAATATGGTATAACACATCCTAAAATAATAGTTATTGAATAGCTTACGTAGAATATTCATGCAACTACTAATACATATTTTCATTCACTTTACAAATCTGTGCCAAAAGTATTATATTCTGAGAAACAAAGTTTGAATAAAATGTTACTGAATATTCGACAACAGCCTACAATACATGTATTCATACTGTTTCCATTTAGCATGAAAAATGTCTCTATGAGCAAAAAACAAAATGAACAAAAAATTATGGGTTTATAAACGTACACTGAACTGACAACATACAGTAATACATATGTTAAAGAGATGAAATAAAGTACATTACAAAATGAAATGAATTCCAGTTCACAGAGTTAGAGACCTAGTGTTGCAAAGGACACTTAACAGTGCTTCTACTTAAAGAAGTCAACTTTTTTTCACAAGCTGAATATAAGTGGGAGCCTGGGATAACTTCATTAATACAGTGACTAAGCTATGGGTTAAAATCCAAAAAATAGTGGATTAATTCCTGGCCGGGACAGAGATTTTTCTCATCACTATGTCCACATCAACTCTGAGGCCCACCCAGTCTTCCCCTGGGGTTAAAGAGGTTGGGGTAAACACAGTACTGATAATTATGAATGAATGGAGCTATACCTGCACTCCTCATATGCCTCCATGGTGTGATGCTTCATTAATTAAGCACATGGACAACTTTACTTTTCCTGGATTGTTTCCTGAAAAACCCTACTTACCATCTGACTCATCGTCCCCCATACCCAGACTTGAATTATCAGAAGATGTATACGGCTTTTGTCTTGGATCAATTCCCTGAAGCGCAGGTCTTTGCCGTCCACCTCCAGAAGACCGTTCTGAACCAAGGTGTGAACCTGTATCTTCTGCTTTTTCGCGAGCTCGTGCCAAGATAGCACGCAGTTCTGACGATCGTGCTGTTTTGTACTGTATAAAAATATATATTTGTGACATATTACATAACTAGCTACTATTATTTCTTAAATTTAAAACTTAATTCTGAAGTACCTGTCCTGTCCTCCTTTGTATGCATCTTTATCATTTATTTTAAAATTTCTTTTCTGTATTGATCATCTTCCATTCACTTATATACCATTTTCATTTGTTTCCTTATAATTTGCTACATTTATTACCACTCACTCTAAACCTACAATTAATTTTTTGAAGAAAGCAGTCTTCTGGGATTTGGCACCGTGTATATGTGGTGTTAACCGACGTTTCGGAGGAACGTATCGCCCCCATCTTCAGGGTAGAAGAAAAAGTATACTTTACTAAGCCTGCTTTACCGTTTCTCACGGTGTTGTCGCTTGCAGATTTCTTATACTTTTTCTTCTACCCTGAAGATGGGGGCGATACGTTCTCCGAAACGTCGGTTAACACCACATATACACGGTGCCAAATCCCAGAAGACTGCTTTCTTCAAAAAATTAATTGTAGGTTTAGAGTGAGTGGTAATAAATGTAGCAAATTATAAGGAAACAAATGAAAATGGTATATAAGTGAATGGAAGATGATCAATACAGAAAAGAAATTTTAAAATAAATGATAAAGATGCATACAAAGGAGGACAGGACAGGTACTTCAGAATTAAGTTTTAAATTTAAGAAATAATAGTAGCTAGTTATGTAATATGTCACAAATATATATTTTTATACAGTACAAAACAGCACGATCGTCAGAACTGCGTGCTATCTTGGCACGAGCTCGCGAAAAAGCAGAAGATACAGGTTCACACCTTGGTTCAGAACGGTCTTCTGGAGGTGGACGGCAAAGACCTGCGCTTCAGGGAATTGATCCAAGACAAAAGCCGTATACATCTTCTGATAATTCAAGTCTGGGTATGGGGGACGATGAGTCAGATGGTAAGTAGGGTTTTTCAGGAAACAATCCAGGAAAAGTAAAGTTGTCCATGTGCTTAATTAATGAAGCATCACACCATGGAGGCATATGAGGAGTGCAGGTATAGCTCCATTCATTCATAATTATCAGTACTGTGTTTACCCCAACCTCTTTAACCCCAGGGGAAGACTGGGTGGGCCTCAGAGTTGATGTGGACATAGTGATGAGAAAAATCTCTGTCCCGGCCAGGAATTAATCCACTATTTTTTGGATTTTAACCCATAGCTTAGTCACTGTATTAATGAAGTTATCCCAGGCTCCCACTTATATTCAGCTTGTGAAAAAAAGTTGACTTCTTTAAGTAGAAGCACTGTTAAGTGTCCTTTGCAACACTAGGTCTCTAACTCTGTGAACTGGAATTCATTTCATTTTGTAATGTACTTTATTTCATCTCTTTAACATATGTATTACTGTATGTTGTCAGTTCAGTGTACGTTTATAAACCCATAATTTTTTGTTCATTTTGTTTTTTGCTCATAGAGACATTTTTCATGCTAAATGGAAACAGTATGAATACATGTATTGTAGGCTGTTGTCGAATATTCAGTAACATTTTATTCAAACTTTGTTTCTCAGAATATAATACTTTTGGCACAGATTTGTAAAGTGAATGAAAATATGTATTAGTAGTTGCATGAATATTCTACGTAAGCTATTCAATAACTATTATTTTAGGATGTGTTATACCATATTTGTTACTCCGACATAATGTCCAGAAGAACAAGGAATGACAGATCCTCTATTTCTGCTTGTAATCACCAGATCAAATTAAAAGTTTGTTTTATCGATACACCACGTGTTTGATTCCCATGGAGAAAGAAAAATGTTTCACTGTTTGCAGTCACTAGTATACCTCCACTTTATTCAGTTATCACATCAGAAGCATTTTTCTTTCAAGTGTTTTTTCAGTGATCCAAAGAAATGGAAATCATTAGGTATAAGATCCAGGCTTAATTGTGGATGGACAAGGCAGTTTGTAGGAAAGTTGTTAACAGCATTTTGGGGCCTTCTGAACTCTTGCATCATAGAATGACAGTGAATGCTTACCACCATTGAACATCACTGTGGCACGTAACGGAAGCTATCACGATAAAGCAAACACTGAGCTGGACCTTCTCTCTATATGGTTATGACAAATACCTGGGTCTCTCTGGAAATTGCATGGTGAAATACTTGTAGGTGGCTGTTATGTTGCTTCTCATTCTGTTGGATATCTATGTTAAAGCAATAAACATGAGTATAGCAGACCTTCAGATATTATTTACCGAATTTCCTTTTACATAAATATATAGGAATGTGTATTGAAAGATCATCTGTGCATGACAGGTCCTATAGTCCCACCTTATTCTCTCAGTTCATATTAATGTAATTTATTATTCTTAATATGTATGTATCATCAGTAGCTTAGATAGGGGCACAGATTAATCACAAATTAATCTGTCAGACAGCTCTACAAGGTTTGTATTTTTGACTCACACATTCAGTTTCTGGAATTATTTTTTAGCAAACTTTTCTTATTTTGAAGATAATATAAGGTAGGATTATGAGATCACCTTGCTGTGCTTGTGTATCTCTCCGTATTAACTTTTCAATGGCTGAATCGATTGTTATTAAACTTTGTAAATATATCAAGCCACCTGAGTACATTTCAGTGGCATACTGCATAAATACCTTGCACCAGTAATACCAACATTACAGCCTTTCATAGTGCTGAGGTGAAACCTTAATATTTTCACGATTTTAGTGACTATAGATTTTATTTGGATTGGTTATCAGATTCATTGAACTCTTACAACTTGTAACTACAAGTAAGGATTTTGCTATCACTCTTTTACACACTTCACCAGTCACTGTAGGACTATGGGTCTTCTCAGTGTGTTACAGTCTTCACTAGCCGTTGCTTGGTAGTGGCTTCAATGGCTTACGTTCCCCTTTGTTCCCAAAATGTCTCTGGCTTTAGCTACCGGGTTCTCACAGCAAACGCTCCTAACGGTTTAACCCCAGCAATTATCTAACTCCTGCAACTCAAAATCAAAGTCAAAGTTATGTTATTTCTGATGGTCAGTTGGCTAGTCTATCTTGGAGTCAGACCCCATCTGGGGCGGGTTTGTTGATGTGTCTGTCGTTTAAAATTGATGCTGGCCATCAACAGCACAGTCTTTCTTGGGTTTGAGTCCTGCTGGACTCATAACCATATTTTACTCTCTTAGGTTTGAGGCTCCCCTTAACCTGGAGGGCCAGGTCCTGGTATATATATCCTCCAGGAACAGGATGCCTCAGTTATACCCCCAGGCACTGGGTCTCCTTTTTGTTGCCTCCTATGACACAAGGCTAGAGTGGTGTTGAAACTAACCTCCACACAGGCTTCTTTCTGAAACTCTTAACTTGTCCTACTTAACATCTCAGCACGGACCGCACAGAAAACACATTTCCTCCATTGCTGTTTACAGGCTGCTGTCTAGTAACAGCCGTTGTATAGTTGCTTATTTCGTGGTTGTTGCCTAGCAACAGGTCTGCTTGCCTCAGTATTGCGTGAACGCCTGTACCAATCTTCATGAATCTTTGAATGTATATCATGGCACCTGAGTCCATCTGAACGATGTATTTCATAAATTCCTCCCATCAGGAATATCAGCATTACAGTTTCTGAAATTGCCGAGGCCAAAACTTGTACCAGTCTTCGTGAAACTTGGTAAGGATGTCATGCCACCTGGGCCCATCTCAACGGCATACGTAAGAAATCCCTCTTATCAGTAGTCAAGACTCTAGCCTGTCAAACTTATGAGATAGTGCCCTTATTAGTGCTTGCATTCTTGAACCGATCATCATAAAACCTGGTATGTTTGTGTCATGCCCTTTGAATGGCATATATCATAAATCACTTTCATCAGTATTACCAACACTGCAGTCTCCAAAATTGTTTTGTTTTACTGACATAATTATGCATACATATCACATCTTTCTTTCTACTCTTCCTATCAGATACTCAAATTACAATGACAGGAAAGTAGGTCTATTTGGTTACCATGCAACATTTTATCCTGTTTGTGGAAACTGAACATGATAGATTCATGTATGAAACAGTGTTGAAGATTAAAACCTGGGTATTCATAGCATTCTCTTTTTACCAGGTTCAGAAGATACGAGCAACAGTTCACATTTTGGTGAACTTCTGAAGGATCAACTTCACAAAATGCAAAACAAGAAATGACTGCTGTAATACGTTTCACAGATTATATTTAAGTCACTGATTGCCTAATACTGGCTTATTAGTTTAATTACTGATGACTATGTGTAATGTATTACACAGTGAACATGAGGAAAGGAAACACATGCCCTTATAGACATAATGTATGTTCCGTTCAAGAGTGAGTTTGTTTCTAATAGGCAAGATGTGATGAGAATTGAAACCCTGTTTAAGGCACCCAACATTTTTAAAGTTACACAATTAAGACTTGCTACTAACGTAATTTTGAAAATAGTACACTGCAAGTGGTTTCATATATTGCTTGAGGAGAGTTCTGTATTTTGCAACAGTGTTGTTCATGTATAGAAATGTAATACAATATTCACAATAAACTCGTTCTTTCCAAATTCCCGGCACAAATAGCATTTACAAGATCAATTAATTTTGAACTACATATATTCCCCAGGAAGAAGAACTTCTTGTACACACTGAAAACTTCTGACACCACTTTATTTTTATTTTATCAAATAGCTTCTTCTAATTAATGATTTTAATTACATGATATGTAGTTTGAATTCATAAATTTGGTCATTATTATTTAAAATATATCTTTTATTTATTTTAGAATAATTTTGTCATCAGTCTATAACAGTTTCATTGATTTCTTATGTCAAGACAACAGTCGGTAATAATACACTTGAATCTGGCCTCACTTAGAAGTGTAGCCTTGCTTTATGAGCCACAATGCAAGAAGGAATAATTGATCCTTCTTGAGAAGTGAATAAATGAAACCATTTCATTAGAAGTTTTCAAAATGTACCCTACTTTTGTGATTGAAAGAAATTCAATCCTTGAAAAGACAGCTTTTAACAGTACATAAACAAAATTAAAATCTATGATAGATGGAATAAAATTTTATTTGGGGTGATTATTATGTAATTATGTTTTGTGTTACACTTAACTGAAACAGTCATTGCCTACTTTTCAGTTTATCCTTTCATAGCTGACAGTAATGCAGATCTATTTTATTCCTCCTGTAAAATTGTTTCATAGGCAGTTTTTTGGTTTCTTTTCATGTATGGCTCTGATGGTTCCCATGTCAGAGCTGTTAGGTTTGAGATAAGTTGAATTTGATGTGCATTTTTCCATATGCCTTTTCTTTCCCTCACCTTTGAAAAAACTGAAACCCTGTGGTTGTGTCACATACCAGACATTCACTGTGGCTTGGATCTCACTTCATTCCAGTCATCATGCTACCATCAGTGGTAAATGAATCTGCCAAGGTGCTACAATCTCAGACATGGACTTTTTGTTTATTACCAAGGTGGGCAAAGGGCAGGAAGGTCAAATACATAACATGTGAGACAGTAGCCACATAAAAGCAAAAGACATTATTTTCAACTCTGAGAAAGTTATCTTTCCTAGATTGGTTATGACTGGTGATAAGGAAAGGTGAGAGCAGAGAATATACCTGAAAAACTCTTAGAGAATCTTAGAGATAATGCCAGTTTCTTTACATTTGCATTCTGAAACACATCCCTTTCAATGGGTTTCCAAATTGCAGTGATAAATCCAGTTAATACATATATCTAACAAGAAAATTATGAAATTAAAATTTTGATCATGACACTTTCTTACCATAAGCAGAATGAATATTTAACATTTATATTCCTAACATAGCCAGATATAAATTTGAATCAGTAATTTATCTGATTGTGATTTGAGTCCCTGTGCATCATTTTAGCTCTGTAACCATGCTGTTGGTACAATTTGTGTTGTAAAGAAACACAAAATATATTAAATTATTACTACTGTTTGTCAGTTTAAAAGTTGTGTACTCATCTTAAAGGATTTATACATAAGATTGTATTAGTAAATGGCTGTTATAAAGGCACAATAGATCACTGTGGTCACGGTGCAAAGGCCAAGAAGGTCCACCCCTTATACATTCAATTGGCTGTTATTTATTTAACATTTGGAAATTCATACTTTAAAATGTTTATGTTATGATCATTTTGTTTTGTTTTTGTTGTAAAATAATGTATAATATGTAATTCACTTATTAGTTAGAAAATATTTAGTTATTAATATGCAAAGCATAAACATGATGCATCTGATACATACACAGCTATGATAATGCAAAGACCAGAGGCTGAGGGAGGTGCAGTTATTTCCAAATATTCATTTGACTGAAATTCCATGTTCTGTATCTCCCATTATTTCTAATGTTCTACATTTGAAATTATGTATAAATGAAACTATAGATTCCTTTAGTTACTCATTACATATCACAGTTCACGTAGCAGAATTCAAACAAGTTACTCAAACATTTCCTGAACTATTAACAGCATTTCTGTAACTTTCAGCACAGCTTATCACATATTATTTCCATAATCATAATCATTATCATATTACTTCTTTCCTGCTCTTTCAGTTTCTTTCAAAAGCAAAGCAGTATATGCAAGTGATATTTGTGGCTCTAATGGTGGTGAATATTAAGATTAGTCTCCTGAGATGTGGCACTCTGTACCAATATTCTGGAGGAATCTGTTGCTTTATTTCCAGAGTTCTTCCGAAACCTTAGTACCTATTCATCTGCTTACAGTGTGTCACATCCCAGGAAAACTAAATCCCGTTTTTAAACAGTTTTATGTTGGATTTATGTTCTGACAGAAATTTAATTTCAGTATTACTGAACAATGTATGTTGTTATAGTAGCCAGACTTGAGTTACAAGGTAGCATTTTGGCATGTGAGTTGGTACAGTCATTCATAGTCATTTTCAGAGGAAATATCAAATTTACTGCCTTTTTGTCTCATAATGTGTTTGATAATTCAGTTTGTACAATGTGTACATGAATGTAATCAGTATATGTAATTTGAGTTTCTGTACAGTTTTTATTAATTTTTAACATGATTCATTGTCATTAAAAGTCAGTCATAATTTATACTTCAAATAAGCTCCTTAGAATTATTGCAATGTCAGTACTGCTGGTCCATGTACTGACTTCATGTAACCTATTTCATTGATTTGACAATTCTGTATCAACTGTGGCACTGAAGCAGAAACATTGGAATGATGAGGGGGCTAGATGCAGATGTCATGTTAGTATTATATAGGAACTGTTCCACCATTTTCAATGGGAAAATATGTATTTTAATAAAAATATGAATTGTATGTAGATTCTAAAAATTTTGGTTGCTTTCTTCAACTCAGACATTTTTATACACTTGTATGCTTTTTTAACCAAGTTCACATGAGTGAAAAGCTAGTGCATATTCATAAACAGCCATGGGATCACTTTTATATGTATCATAATTTGTTGTCAGAATTGGTGACAGTACAAATAAATTTTAAATATGAAGTGAATGAAACACAAGTGAATCAGAGTACTCACTGTATTCTACAAAATGTATATTGCAGCATAACATAGAGAGAGAACCAGAACTATTATTTTGGATGCTGTCCATTGTCTAAAGTTTTTTCAGAAACGCAGTGATTTGGAAATTGGTTCTGTTTTCATCACGAAATGTAAGGGGAAAGATGTTCTTATTCCTTTCAGTCTATTAGAGAGGTGTTGTCACAGTCACTATAAAGTACCGAACCTGTTGATACAAAAATAGATGGAAAGTTGCTGATTAGCTTCAAGTATGCATAAGTTATTCATTCATCTGTAATCTGTCAAGACGACAGGTCCACAGTCTGTTCCAAAACAGTTCCTCCACTTGATGCGATCTAGAGCTTTCTCCTTCAAATGACAGTATCCTCTTCTGTCCCCAAGGTCATCCAGCATATTCTTACGTCTTCTTCCTTGTCTTCTGGTTACTTCTATCCGCCCCTCTATCTTTCCTTCAATAATTTCTTTTAGAAGGCAGTTACCGCGTAAGATATGATCAAGTTATACAGATGTTAAATTCTATTAAGCAATTAATTATTTCATTAATAGGCTTAGAAGAAACAACAGCAGCTTAGCAGAATGAACTGTAATATACCCATTTTAGAGAGAAGAAAAGTGAATTTTCATCTGCCTTGCCTGTTAATTTTTTAAAGACATAATAGTGACAGTTTAAAACCAGCGAGTAAAATGATATGGTGTTATATGGAAATATGTGGGAATTTATAGAAATGTTATTATCCCCAATGGGGATACTTATACGCCCCTTGTGGTTCAGAACTGCTGTTTTAGAAAGAGTACAACTAAAAATAGCATATGAGTAAAGTTAGTATAAATTGAAGAGGAAATATAGTTTGAAAATTCATAATGTGAGTAATTTAATTTTTTCAACATTGAAATAATCCTGTTCATTCCTATCCATGCATGTAGGCCTCTGAATTCATTTACATAAAAAGGAACCCAGTAAATGTCATAGACTTCTTTTGGTGAACTAATTAAAAGATATCTTTAGTTTGATTAAAGTGATGTACTGTATTTTTTATACTCACACCATAAATTATTCAGACCTATAATTACAGATTTGAAAAAAGGTAACATTAAGAACATTAAGCTAAAACTGAACAGGGAATTGAAACAGAGTTTATACTTGGATATAAATATCCAATATAAGGCTGTTTTGAATAAAAAACTACGGTGCTCTTATGGGTTAAGCAGATATGACTGTACAGATATCAGTTCAATATATCTTATATTTACAAGGGTAATTAAAGAAAAATTCTTATACTGATAAAATTGTATATTATTTTGAGGGGTGAATGTGTGCAAGAAATAATTTAAATATTTTTTAAGATTATTTACTCTTCTGAGCAATATGACCATGCTTTAAGTTAACCTGTGGTTTTGGTAATTTTTCTAGTTTTTCTGGTTAGATTGATTTTGTCCAGTATTTCTTTGTAGATTATTTTGGAAATGTTTTTATTATTAGTATGAATGGATATGAGAAGTGTTCCATATTTAAATTACGGGAAAGTAAATGGAAAGTTAGATGACACATTTTTCCACATTTAGCCCCACATTTCTGACATCTGCTCTTCTTGCATTAATATTTAAGGTTGACTTAACAAGCAGTAACAGCATAACTTTCAAGAAAATTTGATTTTTAGTTTCCCTTTTTTTTGGTGTGTGTGTGTGTGTGTGTGTGTGTGTGGGGATTGTAAGAGCATTACTTTTAGCTCAAACAAACAAACTCCATGATTTTAGTATGAAGGTGAACTATACCAACCGAGTGACCACCGCTTTTCGGTGAGGTTAGTGCCAATTTTAGTGCACAGAGTGTGTTGCGTGGTGAGCGCAATGAATCCCCACGACCATTAATTTCGGTTTTCTAAACCGGAGCCGCTATTTTACTGAAATAGCTCCTCAATTATCATCATGAGGCCAAGTGGACCCCATTCCAGACTCACTACTTCTCAGAAAAAAATCTGGTGGCGCTGGGAATCGAACACGGACCTCTGGATCTGTAGCTCAATTTATATGAAATGAAAGTTTTTGAAAGTCTTTCTTCATAGCCAAACTCCTTACTGTAGAATAATGTTCAATGGGCATTTAATATATGTTCTTCTGTTCACATAATAAAGGTAATGAGACATGAAAGGTCAACAGTATTGGAAAAGACAGTACTGGTAAGTCAGGCAAGTAAGTGCCGCAGTCTTAGTTGAAGTCTTGATCGATCTGATTGCTGTTTTATTTGGACATTGGCTGAAAATGTAATGTATGTCATATAGGCCAATCAATGGCTGCTGTGCCGAGTGGACCCAGCTGGACTCCACCCCCCCACTAAGTGAATGCATATCATCAGAAAATCTGTGGATTAGAACATAGTAAGATATCAAGCAGATAATTACATTTTATTTTTACATTTCACACTTTTCAGCCAACAAATTTTATTTGATTTTTTATATAATTCATTCTATTCAAATCACAGTAGACTCAGTGACTACTTGATAACATCACTATATAAGATTTGAGGCTTTCACGGCGGTGACTATGAAGAAAGCAGTTTTCTGGGATTTGGCACCGTGTATATGTGGTGTTAACCGACGTTTCGGAGGAACCGAAACGTCGGTTAACACCACATATACACGGTGCCAAATCCCAGAAGACTGCTTTCTTCAACATCACTATAGTTACACCATATAGATTTCATATATATGTAACAGCAATATGAAGGCACATATTCACAGATATATTTGCACATTAGCCATAAAATAATGTTTTAACTGTACAGTTAGGAACATCTTTTACATATTGCTCTGTGTTCTGAAAGTGTTCATTTGTAGAACAGTTGTATTATAATCCTGGAATTACTGCAGGTATTCACAGTGAATAATGTAGAGTAATCATTGAAGAACAGATTAAATACGTGAGCAATTCTCATGATCTAATGGATTCAGTCTCACATACTACACAAATATCTCATGGTCTGATGTGTGAATTCCTGAGTCATACGAATCCTGACAGCCATGTTGAGGACTTCTAGCTTTTATTCGCCGTGAACGATTGAACTTTATTGGTGGGTATGAGATTTGTTGACGTACAAAACTGGCAGAATGCTGAAAGAGAATGATATTGTTAGATTATTTTATAGTTGTATTAGATATTTATGATCAAACATGTGACCATTATTTGTTTTGGACTCTTTTTCCCTTCCTCTTATCATCTGTTACCATACATTTACCTATTGCTTCATTGTCTGTGTTGGGCTGATGACTCATTCATTTTTCCTATAAAGTCACTCTTTCATTACTGACTCCTTGAAGTCACAGTGGAAGCCATGGACTAATTCTGGCAGCAGAATCATGAAATAGAATACAACACTTTTCTCTTAGGGCCATAAAATTTTTTTTTTTTTAATTTATAAAGCAATGTGTATTGATTAGATTAATGAATCTTTAAATATGTAGTATTCTAATTAATTAAATAATTTAAACTGGGTTTGTCTTAAGGGTTTAAACCATAGATAAAAAGTAATATTCTATTAAAAATGACCATCTTGGTGGTATGTGTGTAAAATATTAGCCCCTACACAGTGGTTGTTGTTGAGCAGCTATGGGTGTCTGTCTTATTGCAGTAAAGTTTCCTACCTGAAGACCAAGGTGAATCAATTCTTTATGAAGATAGGTTCTTCCAGCTCACAAAACAGTAATGCAAATAATGAAAAGTAGGATATATATTATATATCTGGTGGTACTTCTCCTGAGTTTTGTATTCAGTGTATTTATATCAATGTATTCACTGTATGAAGCATAAATGAGTTCTTTATAATTATAGAAGTCTGATGCATGCAACATGCCATGATGTTCATCACATATTACATGTTGTTTCATATTTCTTATAAAGGGGGGAGGGGTAAGTTTTGGCTCAATCTTGCTCCAAATTACAACACTTGTATAAATTAAGAAATTAGATTGTCCAAGATATTCTTCTGAGTCACTCCTGCTTTAATTATTTAGTTATGAATATCTTGCATATCCCCCATTGCTACTTATATTTTTATTTATAATTCCTTTTCTTCTTGAATCTTTGTGAGATTCTTGCCATCATTTCTTCACATGTACCATCAGCCAAACTGCACTGGAACAGGAGCTGTTCCGTAAGAGAAGTGTCAGATTTAGAAAACTATTGGAATAAGTGGCATGAATGTTAGTGATGAGCAATGTCCACTACTGCAGACTGTGATAAATATAAAGAATGTAAGATACATTTCAGTTCACAGATTTCTAGATTTTTGTCTTGTGATGGGAGTAAGGGAATATTGTTGTTTTTAATATATTATTCTTAGACAATATCTGATTGAAGTCTGAATTAGGAATATTTATGTATGTCAAAATTGGAACTTCCTTACTAATGAAGCTGTAGGAGGAATAGAATTTCACTATTATATAGGTACCTGTTGCAATATCTTTTAGGCCTGCTGAACAGAAGACACTGTATCTAGTAATGGGGCTCCATAAATCATTAATATTTATTAAATATACTTAATGCCTTTTAACTACTTGTGAATTTAAAAGTATGTGTGAGGGCCATCAACACAAAAATTTATTATAATTGATTTGATGTTCGGTTCATATTCGTTGCTCTGGGAACGTGTTTACTGAGCTGTTGCCTAGAAACAGATCTGGTATATTTGCCTACCTTGCGGTTGTCACATAGTAATGACTGCGTGCTACAGTATTGCTTAGAAGAGGGTGGTTCTAACCTTGGTGCACTTGCTTCCACTTTCACTTGAGCTGAGGCTAGACAGAGTTGAACATGGCGAGTCATAAGGTGATGATTCACTAGAACTTGGGCAATATTCAAGCTCATCTTTAAGTTCAAGTATTGCTTCCTGCAGAGCAAATAGCTGCTGAAAAAGTGCCATGTCTTGACCAATCAGACTGACCTGCAAACACAGTAATAGGTACTATAATTGGCAGTTACTTTTTGAATGTTCATAACAGTAACAGAAGATACATATGAATGTCTTGTCCAGTTATGCTACGTATAAAATATAAAATCGTCATGTCACAAGTGTACAAGTATTGTGCATGCCCTATCCAAGTACAAGCAAAAATCAATTCTCTCTGTCTTCATTTCATTCCTTTATCCCTCTCATATTTTTATCACTGTTCCCCCTTCTCCCCTATTGATTTTCCATCCCTTTTATTTGTTTGCCCTCTTGCAGTTCCTTTTCCCATGTCCTGTAAACAACAAGAGATAGTTTGGAGTTTTCCCCACGTCATAAGTGCTTGTTGGATTTTCCCTAAGCATGATAGGAATTGGCTAATTTATTTACGAACGTATTAATGCTTTGCAGGGGTGATGCATCATTAGGGGCTAAAGAGGCTAAGCCCCAACTGATTTTGTTGTAGTATTGAATTATCATATTCATTCATGTTTTAGTCTATTGAGATCAAATTTGTATCAAAATATTAATATTTCTCGTTATCATGATGTAATTAAGAAGACACAAAAAGGCAATAGTGATGTCAGAAATACACAAACTGACAGATACTGTACTTACAACTCCAATATCAACTGCCGAATCCGAGCGTTGTTTCAGCACTCTAAAAGAGTTAAGACATATCTAAGGAACTCAATGGGTCAAGAACGCCTGAAGGCACTGGCTGTACTTAGCATACATAAGGACATGATTGCAGAGATTACGGCATTCAAACAAAAAGTGATTGATTTGTTTGCTTCCCAGAAGAATAGACGATCGCACTTCCTGTATAAATGAGGTAACTTTTAAAGCGTTATTGTAATTAATGGCATTAATTGCAATGGAGCATGCTTAAATTTTCTAATACTGTTAAGTGCAAAATGTTTTCACATGTTTTAAAGTAGGAGTTTGTACTACGAATTGCATCGATACTACCGATTATTATTATTACTATTATTATTATTATTATTATTATTATACAACAACGTAAGAATGTATCACTGTCTCATATTAGCCC